GGGGCGAATTGAGGATCGCTATTGTGAGTGAGATGCACCGCGTGGACTTGCCTCCGAACACTCTCACAGGGCGTGCGTATTAACACGCGGCACTACTGCCTGACACCGGGGATACAGGCTGACTGAGACTGTCGAGCGAGCACCGCCCCTACTATGTATATCACATTCTATTGGCAGAGTACGACTGTCGTCGAGGGATAAGGGAAGAAGGAACGTGGTGGGGTGGGCCGGCGCGCGCGATTTGATCAAAGCCGGCCCGGACTGTACCGGATGTGAATATCTGCTGGCTTGCCTTTTTCGTGGCTTGCTCTCGACCCTCGACTGCCGTCAGTCACCAACCTTACCCATCAGTGAAACTCGTTGTCATGAAATTGAATTGTACTGCTGGCGATCTGGTAGTTGTGATACTACAAGTTCTTTGTCTACGATGGCTAGTGTCAAGCTATCATGCCTCATGAAACGATTGTGTCTCCTCGACGTCCGCGGGTGTCTTGCCGGACTCTTTCGCGGGGCACATAACAGCTCCCAACATCAGCGCCATGCCCACAACAGTGAGTACGGTGACCGCCCAGGTCTGTGTCCCTGCGATAATTCCCACCGCGCTGATGACAGCGCACGCGCTACTCAGCCACAGTGCGCGTCTCGCGCCTGGGTGTCTATCTGCGACGGCAAGCAGCATGGCTATTATGGCGAAGACCGTGCCGATGAATCCAGAAACTGCGCAGGCCCTTAAAACAGCTCGAAAGGGAGGCAGAACATTGCTCTGCAACGCCGCGGATGCTATGGACGTACAAGTTGAGCCGGCAAACGCGATCTGCGGCGCGGATTTGAATGCGTGGAATCTGTGGGAAAATCATCAGCGCTCACCATGCCGAATTCCAACACCGGCTGAATGCGCTCCTGCTGACGCGCGGTCTCTGGTTCTGGCTGGCTCTGCCCGCTTTCAGCCGGGATCGGTCCTGTGAAGAGGCGTCACGCAAGAGCGCTTCAGATGGGACGCCACACCGCAGCGGAGAGATACTTACCTCTAACGGTCTCAATTGGTCGGTAGCGACGAGGGGGATACTCGTTGATCAAGACCGGCGAAGGGGCTTGAGCCTGTGTGTCGCGCGCGTCGATAACCGTGTCAGCACAAGAACAACGAGCTTGATACCTACCGGTTCAGGTGCGCATGTAGCGTCTGAATGAGCACGTTGTTGATGGGGAATGATTGTGTTCTCTGACGGGTCTGGCGTGCGACATCTGGGCGCTTCTTCACGAACTGCTGCAGAACCCATCGTCAAATGTAACGGCCGCGGTAAAGGAAGTGTGCAAGATACCGCTGGGTATAGGAGGAAGCTCTCGACAAGCAGTCTCAGCATCAAACATCGAGGGAGTGTTAGGCATATGTACGACGGGCATGCAAGTACAATGAAGAGGTTCGTGGTCTACACAGTTGGGTGAGAGACTGGATGGCACTGAGCGAGCGAATAGCGAACTTCGCGGCTATATAGCTCGGCGTCAACCCGCAGACGCGACGTCAACTACTTCATACGCACACTTTATGGCTGCGTGCGTCAGAGACATTCATACGAATCCATGCATGACCAGACCTTTGTCTCCAACATATCCGTACTCCTTCGTGGGGTCTTCCTTCGACCCTGCACGCCCCGCGTGTTCCCGAAGTTTTCCGTCAGACTCGTTGCTCTTGCGAAGAGATAGGGCAACTGTTCTTGTTTATGGAATCGCTGCTCCGGTCCGACTCGCAAGCGTGCAGTGATCTGACGTTTGGTTAAATCAATCACCGTCAATGTGGACCGTTCACTTGTACATCCTCATTGACTCGATTTAGATTGCCTCAGTATACACTGAGCCCGCCACACTTAGCACCGACGACGATGATGCGCTCGCGCGTATAACATACCGTGTAGAAAGATTTCACGGTATACATCTCGTCGGAATATCAGCTATACTGATGTACTATCACGCTGCGCCAGTCACGACACTTTCCCAGATTTGGGAGCGAATTGAATTCCATATTCAGAAAGGTCATATCCATTTCAAAAGTTGTGCCGCGCCCATGTTGTTTGGGTTTGAAAACTGTCCAGTGCTTGAAGAGATCATCGGCTCGTTTTCGTATGCGTGCTAGCGTCACAAAACACGCGGTTTAGAGAGCGTGCGACTAGATGCGACGACCTCGAATGAGTTTCACTGGAACTTACATGGATTTTCAGTAGCTGCGACTCACTGGCTAGGTAAGAGGGCATCTCTTCAAGTCTTCCTGAAGTCGAACTATCGTTGGTATCGTCTGTTGAACGCGTACCTTCTAGCTAGCACACAGCATTGCGTAGCGCCCGGTATACTCATGCGTCATAGTAGGGTATGACGCACAGCTCCTGGGAAGTTGCGGTGCTATTGAGCGGGCTCGCCGCGGCCGGAGACTCCGCCGGACGCCCGGCCGTTGTCCGTTGCGCCTACCGTCTCCGAGTGGTCGTCATCGAGCAATTTGTGCGCATTAGCGCGGTCTTTGGAGAAAGTCCCAGAGCTCTAACGGATGGTGGAAGAGGGGAACTTTCGCTCTACGAGCTCACGGTCAAGTATAGTGCCAATCCTCGCCGCACCAGGACGGGGGCTCGGAGATGCGCGCCGCGATTCAAGCCACGTGAGCGCGTTGTAGCTAGGATGCCACCAGCTGCTATCAAGGAATGAACTTCGATGAAGTGTCCTACCTGTCCGGGATATTCACCAGAGAATCGTGATAAGTGTTCTGCTGGACACCGTTGGTGAGCTCCGGAAACTGCGAGGAACGGTAGCATATATATCGTCATCGAGGACGGGGCATCTTCATACATGCGCTAAATTCGGCAGTAACAAGCCCAGATGGGCTCACTTGACCTATACACGCGTACTAGGGGAGTTCAATCGTAGACGTAGGACTGGCGCCACCCGTCCGATAACAGCACACGCCTTTTCTTTATCATGGTTCTTTGCTCCCAAGCCCATGGCCACCTCGGAGACAAGGGGACCCATGAGAGGCAACTGGTCATCGGTCGCCGATCATACCTGGTATAGGTAACCCACGATAGTATCATCCTGGGACTTCGAACAATAAGTTGACGTCAACTGCATGTTCTCAGCACTACACAAGGGATCTTAACCATCGTCACTCCGAGTCCATGGTCGGCCCGCATTGATCACGATGCTCTGTAGTAGGAAACCGCAGAGACTATACGCGCGCCGGTGAATGTGGCGCTCCAGGAAGTCGTACCAAAAACTGTGTAGACCAGCGATGTTGCCGAATGCATTCACTTGCTAGCTAGGAGCGGCCCGAGATGCGTCGTAGAGTGATGACTCTGTCGTATCATCGGCATGACCGGCACGCAGTAGTTGGGTTTGAACCAGCCTGGGAGATGCTTGGCATCTGCGCTCAACTTCAGCAAGTAAACATATGTTGCTTGACAAGTCGGGTGTGCACACTCTGTTACGTATGAGTATCGCGGCGGCTTTCCATTGACTTGACGGCCGCATAACCGCGTATCCAAGGTGTCGAAGAGGCCATGACGGCTCGGGAAAGAGTGTAGAGTCGCTACATATGGACAAGTCCGGCCCGGGGCGTCGACATCTGGCTCTGTACATGCCCACATGTCCGCAAGATCCGCTGTCCGTGTGAAGAATGGGTAGGTTTGTCCCACATCGTAGATCACCCACGATCTAATCCTGGTCGGGTTAGCCCGAGCCGAAGTAGCAAGGTCGGCGGACTCCAAACATGTTGAATATGATTTTTTTCCTAGCACATAGTAGGGTATTGCCATGCTGTGATAGTTGTCATACAAAGCATGTCGTCCAGTCGCCACAGTACAATGGGCATAAAACCCGGGTCGGCGGCCGTTAATCGTGGTATATGACCACCCTCGGCGCCTGTCAAGCCGCGCGCTGGTGTGAGCACCTACGGTACAGATCCACCATGCGCATATACGTCTGTGAGTGAGTCTTTCCTCTGTAGAAATGTTGGATTTCAGACCGAGGAGTACAATGGGAAGTACCTGGACACAAACAGATCGGGTAGTTGGGTGTGTACGTGAGGAACTCACGGAAAGCCGCTTTGATTGAGGTTATGACTGAAGCTTATATCATAGGCCATTCTAGACCTTCTCGGGCCACAGCGCTTGAAGATCGATGTAGGCAAGCCCACGGAGAGCAGGATACTCAGATGCGGTCAGTGAGCTAGGTCCGGGAGTAGTACACAAGACCCTTTGTGATCGCGCCGTATCTAAACCTGTCAGGATGTACCAAGAAGCTGTTTTGGGTACCCTTCCGGAGCATGCTCTGCAATTCAGTAAGACAATCTATACTGACAGATGTCATCTCGTCCTCGCGACCGGTCAGATCGAAGGGAAGTAGCTGTGCATGCCCTAGAGCTGCGTGCACCTAAGTCTTTTCATTTGCGTGGCGGCGCCCAGTACGGACTCGTAGTATGTGGTTCGCACCTGCCGAGGCTGATGCGGTGATGGCTTGAGCACATATCGGTGGCGCGTCCCGAGAGAATGATACGGAACACGCATGGAACACAATCGATCGATAGAAAAAGATCGATAGAAAAAGGTTCATCCTGAAGCTTTGTATCCGTAGAGAACGCCAATAAAGCGTGGAAGAGGACCGGATGAGCTTTGGCTTGCTATGCGATGAGCGAATAAGGCGATACCTCGACGGGACGACGCGAGGAAACGGGCAGGCGACATGGGCGCTAGATGGGGGTATTGACCATGTAAGGAGCAGAGGTACAGATACGCCTGCATGATGTGTGCGGGAACGGGGCGGTGCTGCAAAGAACTGTGCCGACGGCGGCGGCTTGTCGGGGTCCCTTCCAAGACACTGGAGAGCGCAAGATCGACGCGACGGGGAAAGTCTGAACCATGACCGCCACAGGATGCGTCCCGGGCGCAGGTACCGAGTGACACCTATACGCGAGTTGTGGTACGAGTGAGAATGTACAAGCAATATCCACCTGGGCGTTTATAAACATCGACATTCGGACATCCTCACAAGACAGAGCCCGCTCACAGGATGTTCGTTGGTCCACCTTCCATTGCATCTTCGCTGCGCGACGAGCCAACAGGCTTCCGCAATACGGACACCGGCGTACAGGCATCCCTACCATCTATCTTCGTCGACAGTTCCACCCGCCGGAGACTTCGGCCAGTACCAGGTGTGTCGTATTTGTGAACTAATTATGCGATGCCAGTTAACGAGCCGCCAACGAAGAACTCGGTCTCGACGCACCATGTCAAGAAGAGTTTACCACCGAACGTGCCTCCCGATCGCGGCAAAAGCCCGTTTATGCGGTGGCCCATGCACGCGTCCCGCAGCTCCGTATACCGCCCCACAGTGTAGTCAATCCGTTCCCTCCTCGTTTTCAAGGAGATGATGACAGAGGTACGCGCTCGCCCTTGCTCTTATGCCAGCTTCGCTCACGATCGCATAACCAGCGACGCCGTGCATGCCTGTCATGATGAATCACGCAAAGCGGGACGTCTCAGTCACAGGCCCTCGGCACATGCCAGGCCCACCGTCGACTTTGATGTTTGGCATGGTAGAGTCACGATCTAGAAAGTGCGTACAACGTGGACTGATGCATGAACTCGTAGATCGCCTTTTCCGGTACGACCTGTACATCCATCATGTCTGTTGCTTTTCAGACCAGCGCCTTTTCTCCCCTTCTGGACGCCAGCGCGATCATCGGCGTTGCGGGGACACTGCTCACCATCGCGGCAATGCTTGTGGTGACGAACCCGAAGCAGGTTGGCGCGAAGTATCTCTTGTGGATGAGCAGTGCGTGCGCCATGATCGGCGCTGCGGGATTGGTGGCAGCTACACAACTCTGGTTTGTAACGCTGTCGACGGCTCTGGTTGTCGCTTTCATCTTGGGAATCTCCTTGTACGTCGGGGGAGAGAAGCGGTCAGTCATAGGTAGCGTAGCTTGATTTGGCAGGCCATGGAACATGAACCGCGTGAAAAGTGTAGTGTACCGTAACAACACTGACGTGGCATCGCCCGATTTCAAAATCGGAGATCGTTTCATGCACGAGGACGGTCATAAACGGCGTTCAACTTCAAGTTGAAGGTGATGGACGTCGCTGGCAAGTTGCGAAGATGAGCTGATGCGATCATGAGCGACCGGAGCCATCAATGCGTGTCCGAATAGCTTTCTCCTCAACCACGACGATCCATATATCGCGATGGCCTCTCGCGCAGGCGGCCTCTACGGCGGCATACAATTCTCAACCTCTAAAGCATTTGCATCTACTGCAGAACCCTCTTCTACCACTACACCTCCCCCTACCACGGCAACTACTACAGCGTCAGTAGGAGCATCGTCCACAAGCCCACCTGCGGACGAGGCCAACAAGGCCAGCACCGGTATCTAGCTCTACACGCAAGATTTCTGTGCGAAATACTCATCGTGATATCTGCTCCTCGGGAAATATTATATCATCATGAAGGCGCCGCACATGCACCAGGATGGTCCGCTGCACTGGCTTTTGCGCCTGTACGGAAGAAACCCACGAAGCCGGCCGCCAAACCACCTCTTGCTGCCTTTGCCGCGACGGGATCAGCTGTAGTGATGGCCCCGCCGGTACTCGTGAATATCAACAAGGACATCAGCTCCGAGAAAACGAAGGAAGAAGTTGCAAAGGACGAGACGAAAGAGGATAATGGTAGCGGGAAGCAGGGCTGGGGTAAAAAGGTCAAGCCACCCAGTATGGTCCTCGACGAGGACGTGAATGGCTTCCGCAACCAGTCGCAGAAGAAACGTCAAGGAGGCGGAGGTGGGAGGAAGAACCGTAAGGTATGTGGCATATCCTGCCTAGCTGAGATATATCACAACTCACACTTGTTGTATTTCTCGTAGAATAAGCACGTTCAGCAACAAGTCGCTGTTTGGGATCCAAGCGAGAAGTACGACCCTCTTCGGCCCAATGATTATGGCGAATACAAAATGTGGCGAGCCCGTGAGCGCGACGAACGACTCGAACGCGCAAGGATGGAGATGTACGAGCGTAAGCGCCCACGTCGCAGTCCTTCTGAATATTCCGAGGATGAGCGTAGTGAGGACGAACGCCCACACAAGACGGGTAAGCGTCTATCTGCGGTGCGAAACCCGTCATATTGAAACTGATGAATGGAATTTCAAGGTCGGATGGACGACTGGAGGCAGGATGAAGACGATTATGACCGTCCGATGGGCATCGGTGGACGAACATCAGCAGCAGCCGCCCCGGCTCCTGACCTGACAGGCGACGAAGCGTATCAGCGCCGCGTCGCGCTCTCAAAAGGCATCACGTCTACCTTCGCGCCAGCAGCTTCAGCGCCTACCTTCTCAGCCGCTTCCTCGGCTCCGGCATTCTCCGCGGCATCTTCGGCAACGCCCCCTCCTTCTGCGCCACCTCCCCGCGATGAGTCGGGTGACGCAGCCTATGCCCGCCGTGCCGCCCTCGCAGCTCAATCCGGTGACGAGGCGTTTGCGCGACGCGCCGCAATGTCCGGTATCGCCGTGGCTCCTGCTGCACCGACCTTCGTTTCGCCGCCACCACCCTCAACTTCAGCTGCTCCGGCTGTGCCAGTCTTCCGTGCTCCGGACGTAGCAGAGCCACCTTCACCGCCGAGTGAAAGCGCGTACAATCCTTTCGCGCCACGCGACGTCCCCCCGCCGCCACCTCCCGGCACGGGTCCACAAGAAGCCTTCCAGGCCCGCGTGCAGAACAGCAAGAACGCAGCAGCTGCCATTGCTGCTCGGCTTGCAGCCCTTGCTCCCGGTCCCGGTGCAGCGTCTGCGTCTTCTGCGCCGCCGGGATTCGCTGCTGCGACTGCGAGCTCGGCCGAGACTTCACCTCCACCTGGCGAGAAAGACCCGTCAACCTTTGCTGCACGTATGATGGCCAAATGGGGACACGTAGAGGGCCAAGGTCTGGGGGCAGACGGAAGCGGCATCGTACACGCCCTGACCGTCGAATCCGTGAAGGCCGGTGGCGGCAAGAAAGGCAAAGGGAAGAAACAGGAACCCGAAGCTGTCCAAGCTGGAAAAGGGAAGCAAGGAGGCGGTGGAATGGGTGGCGCGGCAAGGATCGTGGATGCCAGTGCGGCTGCGAGGGAGAAGGAAGAGTTGGTCCGGTTTGGGAAGCCGAGCCGGGTTGTGGTGCTCACGAATATGGTGGATATTGAGGATGCTGGCGATGACGATCTTCGAGGCGAGATCGGTACGCTACTTCTCAATCACCTTTACAACCAAGCCATACTAACTGACAATGCACAGGCGACGAATGCAGCAAGAACGGCTCTGTCATCCGCGTCGTCGTACATGTCCTCCAACCTTTGCGTGATCCCGACGCGCCAGATGCTGTCAGGATCTTCGTGTTATTCGCAGGTCCTGCAGGCGCGTGGAAGACTGTTCGCGAGCTCGATGGCCGATTCTTCGGCGGAAGGACAGTCAGGGCGCGATACTTTGATGAAGGGAAGTTCGGGCGAGGTGACTTCGATGGAAACTTGGAGTGACGGAGATAGACGTCGATTGCTGGTACCATATGGCAATGTTGTGTCAATGTTTGCTTTTCTTGAATGTATTGATATAATCTGTGCTTATCGACTTCGTTGTCGTTTCCTGATCTCTCGAGCGTGGCTTGGTCAGTCAATCATGCTTTGCGTCCCGGTACTATTCACGCGCTCCAAGTGCGGATCTAACTTCTGGTATTTCTCGAACCAAGGCAGGACACAGAGTCAACGCGAGCCGATACAACCAGCACAGGGAAACACTGGATAACTGTCCGAGTCTGAGAAGGGCCGGGAAGTGTTCGGTACGAGACAAGACGAGATGTGGTATGTATGATACAAGAGGTGGCGACACATATGCAACAGGAATACGAGAAGGGGATGCAGCGAGCCGGGGAGTGGTATCGTGACTGTGATGAATTGTGTTATCGAGCAGGGTGAGTTGCGAGCTAGAGTAATGGGATCATATACAGAGGAGTGGGGAACAGAACGGACGATGCAAACGGACCAACCAGACGAGAAACCTAGCAGCCTGTGGGCGATGACGACGCGGCGTGCATGACGGGCGACCGGCTCCAGCACGCGTCCCATGCGCTGGTGTCTGCCTTGGCAGAGAAGGATGACCCAAAGTTGGCACCGACGCTCGCGATGTCGTCGAAGAGTGAGCCAGCCATAGGGTCGGGCAAACCCTCACAGCTGAGGCCGAGGTCGAGACCCAACAAGTTGACGCCAAGTTCGGCAGTCAGACCATCCTGGAAGGTCTCCATGCCATTGAAGTCGAGCAGGGGAGCGAGTCCCTGAGGCGAATAGTCATACTGACTATTGCCGAGGAGGGCCCGAGAGCCCTCCTCCCCGACGAAGTTGGTGGGCGGCAGAGGCGCCGCGGTGGCCGAACTGCTACCCCAGCAGTCGGCAGCAGTGTCGGCGGGTTGCAGCTGCTGCGTCGTGTAGTGGTAGTGCTGCGGGTCATAGTAGGTGCTGTACAGCTCAAGCATGGGCTGGGAAGGTGTTGCGCCCATCATGCCCAAGCCGTATCCAAACGAAGAGCAAGAAGTGCCCTGAGCGTAAGAGTATCCAGGAGCCATGGCAGGGTGGTACGTGGTGCTACCGGTGCCGTAGTCGAAAACGCTCGGGATCACGGGCAAGTCACCGAAATGGTGGGGAACAGTAGGTGTAGCGAGTGCGACGTCAGGCGAGAAGGACGGCGAAGACGAGGAAGTCGATGCGGTGGATGGTGTGGAGGCGATGGAGGCCGGGGACGACGATGCACTAGCCTTGCTCCTGTTCTTGCTCGTCGTGGCGCGCGTACGCTTCGGCTTAACTACAGCAGGGGCTGCAGCCTTAACCTTCTTCTTCGGCCGAAAGACGTAGTCTGGGTAGAGCTCCCTATGGCGCTCTTTGCACCTCTCCGCCTCCTCTTCAAATGGTCGCTTCTGCTCGACGCCGAACTGACCCCAGATCTCGGAGATGCGCGAGTTATAGTCCTGAATAGAGAGTTCTTTCGTTATGCACTCCGTTGTTTGCAATTGTTGTAGCCACTCGTGCAGGTCGGGGTTCTGCTCCATGAATGTCCTGGCGTTCCAGACTTGCGACCCTCTGGGAGACGTGCCTTTGAGGGCATAGCGTGCGCAGGACAGGAGCACCATGAATCGATTAGGTGGGCGAGGGATATGCTGCAACATTTTTCAGCCAGTGTTGTAGTACGTGTAACAATAAACCATACCTCGTCGAGACCAGCCTCCTCGGCGCTGCGCTTGAGAGACGAGGGCATGATACGCTAAAGTGCCATTGAACCGTGAGCGTAGAACAGGGGAACAGGACGAGGAACACGTACCGTGAGAATGGGCCGATCGGAAGGGTACGAGTAGAGCAGAGTATGGGATCGAGGCTCGAAAGGGCGAGTCAACTACGGGTGGGGGGCCAGTAGCTGAAGAAGGAAGGCTCAAGGAGAGGCGAATTTAAATACCCCTCTCGAAGACCACAACTTGAGCCGTGAGAGCCTCGCAGAGAGCAGACACCTATCGGGGTAAGTCTAGGAACGCGCACAGCGCCTCGAGTCGGGAGTTGTGGTCCTGGCCAATGTGAAGGTTTAGCGCTCGGACCTCTGCATCGGCGCGCCGACTCTACCAGATATCTTGCCCTAGTTGGGCAACGATGCGGCGGGCCGGGCGACTGCCGGTGGTCCAACCTTACATGCCGCAGCGAACAGGTACAGACAACTTTGACCACCGGGAGAACTATCGAGCGAGGACAAAAGTCCGACAAGGACAAGAAGGGCCTTCCACCAAGGCATGTCGGATACGAATTCCGCTACAGTCTCGACACTATTAGTGAGATCTCTGTGTATGATTGCATTCAACATTAGAGTAACGATGATAGACACAGGAGGTGAACGCCTGTATATGCGAGCATTGGCCACTGCTTCTAGAAATGGTAGCCTCGTGTTGAGGCTGCACGCAGGAATCTGCAATCCGAACGCACACTTCCTCGCATTCGACTCGACCACTGATAGGAATGCACGGAATAGCGCTAGTCGGCTTCCATCGAACGGGTCCAGAGAAGCTGGTCTCCAGGAGCTGTCGAGGCGTCGAGTGGCGGGTGTACAGCTT